CCCCCTAGTCCCCCAGTATCTCCATCCCCTGGTCCCACAGCATCCCACAGCACTCTGGTCACCCACTATCTCCATCCCCTGGTCTCCCACTATCTCCATCCCCTGGTCCCTGGGCATCCCCATCCCCTGCTCCTTCAACATCCCCATCCCCTGCTACTCCATCCCCCAGCACCCCAGTGTCCCCCAACACCCCGCTGTGTGTGTGTGTGTGTCCACCCCCCTCCACCCAACACCCCAAACCCCACCTTTGAAGCGCCCGGCCCCCGTTTTCCAGAGCATGCAGCCGCTGTGGACCAGTTTGCGGCGCAGGAGCTCGTCTTTGCCGAAGACGCCGGTGCTGTTGTCCCAGCGGAGCTGCACCTTGGCCCTCCCGTCCACGCGCCGGTAGACGTCCCAGAGCCGCGCGTTCATCTCGTAGGTGTGCACCTCCTCGTTGATGGAGGAGATCAGCTCCTTCACCAGCTTCAGCGCCCGCGACAGGTCCGCCGAGTCCCCCTCGTTGTCTGCGACCAAGAAGGACACACACACACACACACACACACACAGGGTCAGGGTTTGTCCCGGTTTGAGGGAAAACCGGATCAATTTTGTCTTCTGTAGGCCTTTAGGCTTACAGGCCTGTAGGCCTTTAGGCCTTTTCTAACTCTCTGAAATTAACGGCGTATTGTGGAGAAAACTGGGCCTTCTCAGAGTGATCAGACCAACGTTTGTGCTCCGTGCCAGGGGATGGTGAGCAGAGAGGCCCTTGCTTATACTTATTGCTGTAACAACCAAGGGCAGCCAATTTTTTGTTATTTGCCCCTTAGAGGGTCGGAAACGGAAAAAACGTAGAGGGGTCACATCTGTGGGGAGGAACGGCCAGGACAGGTGACCCAAACCTGACCCACAGGGGTGTTCCATCCCATCTGCCCCACGCTCAGTGTAAAAGCTGAGGGATCAAAGGGTCAACTCTCTTCCTGCGATGGCCAACGTCCCAAGAGGACCCTGCTCATCTGCCTTTGATCCCCATCCGTGTGTTCCTGCCTCCAGAGCTGGAATCCTGCTCCTGTCCATCACCCAGTCCAGGCTGGGACTTCCCCAGTGCCTGCTGGTGACGGGACGGTCATACTGGGAGCTCGATACACTTTTGTATAAATGTTGTATCTATTTCATTATTTTCCTCTCTTTTATTTTAATATTATTTTTGATTAAAGCAGTTTAGTTCATTCTAAACTTTTCAATCTCCTTCTCTCTTCCTCTCCTCTTTCGGGTGGGGGGGAAGGGCCATCTGTTGGTTCGTTTGGGGCGATTTCGGCCAAAACCATGACAG